TGAGTTTATCTTTATAGTAGAACAAAGTGGTGTCATTATATAGATAATTAATAGAGAGTTTCAATTCTATTATAAGAGACTAAATGCTTAGACAAGGTCCCTATAAAAGTGACTTAGATTAAGAATTTCAATTAAAAAATTTTGCTTAAGAAAAAGTAAAAAATAAACTAACTGAAGAACATAGTTATGAAAGAGAATTTTGATAAAAGAAAAGAATGGAAGTAAAAGAGAGAAGCACAGGATAGATCATAGAAAAGCACGTCATATATTTTTCGAACTTAGAAAATATCACATCATTTTTTTAAATTATAAATTTATACGTCGTTACGTTCTATTCATGAATTTAATTTATACGCCGTTATGTTCTATTCATGAAATACATTAAACACACGAGATATTAAATATATATATTCCATGTTTTAGCATTTCAAGTATTATTTTGTACATTAAATATATATTTAATTTAATAATTGAAAATTTAATTTAAAAATTTATTTTTCAACTTAAAAGTTACCTATTTATTATTTTTTAATCTTATATCGTGCTTATTATTAATAATTAAAATACTTATTTTAATTTTATAAAACTATCAATTTCTAAATATTTAATTTTATTGAATGTAATAAAATATTTATTATTTATAATTATGATTTTTAAAATTCATACCAAATATATCAATTAATTTTATCAATGTTATGAGAATAAATTGAACGTTAACTATTTTTGATTGATATCAAATCGGGTAGGGATAATTAACTGCTGATACATCATCGACTGTAAGAGAAATCGTGTATAATTTTAAACAATACACAGTTCTTTGTAATCGATATTAAATATATTAGAACAAGATGCATTAAAAATTACAATGCATGAGATTGCATTCTTAACACTTTTTATGAAAAAAATATATTTTTTAACTAATGTCCTTGTTAACATTATAAAAACCACATTAAGTAATTATTCTAAAGTTATTATAAAGTGTTAAACAATGTTATGGTTAGAAGCATGAGTTGGTTTGGCTATTGGGACTCTACTTGGAATGGTGGAGGAGATGGATAGATGGATGGTACATTAAGAAAGACACTCTGATGCTGAATCACAGACAAGAAAGGGATAGATAATTGGAATTGCATAATATGTAGTTAGTGATGGAAGACTATCATCCTTGTACAGTACAACTCAGCTCCGAGGTGCAACAAGTGTAACTCCTCAAATCCTAGGATTGTGGCTTTTATTTTTATAGTTATTTTTTGTCAACTAGGATTGCATTTGTGCCTAAATAATTGTTAGAAATTGCAAATGCTACATTTGGGCCTGCTATCGTATGGGTCCGATTCATCTTAATTATATTTTTAAGAAAAATATCTTTTTACACCATTTATTAAAAAAAAGGAAAATTGGAATGGAAGAAAAAAGCAATAAATATAATAAAATATGTAATGAAAAGAAAAGAGAAATAGAAATAGAAAGGAGTTTAAGGTAGGATAAAAAAGGGATGTGAAAATAATTATAGTTGAATGTTTAAGATTTATCTTATTATAAGTGTAACGAGGTGTAAAGTACAAAAATAATTTATCTATTTTAATAATTAATGTTGATTTTTAGTGTCAAATTGATCGTGTTGTTTGAGAGAGATTTTGAAAAAGAAGAGAAAGGGGAGAAAGACAAATTTTTTTATGATAAATATATAAGTAATATACTAAATTTGTCTTAATCTATTATTCTATACATCTTTTATTCTCAAAAAAATATTAAAATAAATAATAATTATTTGGAATACAAATTTTGTCCTCCTCTCCCTTTTTCCTTCAAATATTTTCAAACAAATTCTCGGCTAAAATGTTTAATTTGATTGAAGAATAATGTCAAAATTAACTAAGATAGTATATCTAAAATTTTCACTTAATTTATATCAACGGTATATAAACATATATTTTTTACTTCATACCAAATCCGATTACGTTTAATGTTGTGACAGATGTTTAATGCGTTTTTGTTTAAGTTCTTTATATATATATATATATATTTGAAAGTTCTGAAGGAGTACGTAATTGTATTCTACAAATAAAATGGTTTATTATATTAAAAAAAATTTAAACCCTAATTAATTCGAAAGTTTAATTAATCGGAGAAACTATAACTAACACGACAATCACAGTTTTCATCCCATTAATAACATAGTTGCTCTAGTAATTATGTACCATATATGAACATATCTCGTCGTCCTTTGCATTGATTTCAGCAATTCTCAAACATTACAACTCCACATAACATTTAATCTTTCTATCCAATAAAATTTCCCCCTTTCAGTTCTTAAAAAGACAAAAGAAAAAAATGAAGAAAGATTCCCTATTCTAAATCACCTACCTTCAGAAATCAGAAGATTGAGATGTTATAGTATCGTATGTAGTGATGGTGGTGACTTGTTCAAATCTAATAACCATTAGGACTGTATATGTGAATGGCTGAACTCCACATTTAATCGGATATCCTTGTTTTACGGGCCATGTCAATGTGATGCCAGGACAATATCGAAGCACCAAAGCTTTATCTATGGAAAGGTCTTTTTCCTTCTTTTCTTATTTAACTATATCTTCCTTTTTTTCCTTTCTATTGTATCCTTAGTCAGGTCCATATAAATCGCCCATTATTGTTCTTCTTCTTGACTACACAGCTTTATAGCGTAATAAGCTCAATCTTATCCAAGAGACCAAGACTTTTCAAAACAAAACAAAACAAATCCTTGTGAAAAATGCCACTTGAGTTGCGTAAAATTTATTTCACAAAATTTCTCAATTTAACAACTTGTATTTTAGGAATAGAAATTTTCTTTGAATAATCAATAAGCAATGATTGACAAATTGAAAAAAAAAAAAAAAAAACCAGGTCTAGGTGAAAAAATACAAAGTTTTTGAACTGGGTTTGTATGTGTAGTATTCAATCATGCTTCGGTAGGTTTCTTGTTTTGTTTTTTTATGTTTTGGACAGTCTCTTCTGACAGTTAACCGTGCTATTTAAAAGATTAGACGCTGTAACTCTACTAACACTGTTCCCCTCTCCTATCCATTTACCCAAGTGAATCACACATGTGTCAATCATTTATTAAAAATATAATTTAACAAGCAGTAATTCATCACGTAACACAACAAAGAAGCCATACAAGTGCGCCACTCTTTCTGAGTCTACGACCGCGAGCTGTGTCCACCATAATAATTAATTAAGTTGCAGAATATCAGTTAAAATCAATTGCCGTGTAATTTTTCTTTGAAATTTTAGCATCGGATTCTTTACAAGAAAGAAAGTTTTAGATTGGATTATATATATTGAGAAGGACCTCTAGTATATTATCTATGTTTTTTCTCGTTTTGGCAATTATCATACTTGTACATATTATCATTGCATTCAGATATCACAAAAACTAGGGTATGTTGTCTATGTTAAGATAACCAAAATGATAGGCTATGCTTATATGTTTATCACTATATATATACGCACGAATGCATGCATAAATTAAAGTAATCTAAAGTTTAACAAATAAAATAATTTAGTCGGATCAAGTCCATTGTTGATGCATGATTCCCCTAACGCTAGAAAACCACAGGGCCGGAATTTAATTGGATGCTAACTATATTAACACGATTTCTAAAATTTGAATTTGGACAAAATGAAAAATGAGTTTAGAGAAAAAATATTGGTCCGAAATGAAGAATCATGTCACATAATTTATATAGTTAGCGTGGTAATTTATCCGATTTTGTTGATTTGTTGAAGATGGTGGGGATGGGAAGTTGAAAACAAAAGGGGTGGTAAAATAGGAGCGAAGGCACCCACCAGTTAGTTAATGTGAAGAAACGAGCATAGAAAGGGGATAGGACCCCTGGGTCAATTGACAGTGCAACCTCCACCACTTAATAATAATTGTACAGCAAATGCAATTTTTGTGCGTCAGGTAAAGGTGAAGACTGAAGACTGAAGCTGAACCTTGCAATTACAACGATACATAGACGAGAGAGAAGAAGCACATGGTCCAAGATAAAAAGCTACTAGCTGAGGAAACTAAAGAAATTCGACTCTTTAAGCTGATCATATCTTTGGCCTTTCTACGGCTTTTTGTATTGGTTGTAGCAATGAAAGATAACAAGGACCACAGAAGAAGCACACGCAGTGTGAGTGAGTGAGTGAGTTTTGAATTTAATTTATGTTATTTACATCACAAGTAATTCGTTTGTAACCCCAAAAGCTTAGAATGGTCTCTGCATATTTGGAAAGATGCTGGTTCTGGTTCTGCCTCTCTCTGCGCCCACTACTGTCACGGCCCTGATTCAGATGCAAGAGACGTTAAGGTGGTCATCATGAATAGAGTTTGTTTGTGTCTGTGCGCTTTGAGACCCTTGAGAGGGACGACTGAGTCTGCCACTGTCATTAACCCCTCACACCAGTGGCACTGAAAAACATGCTGCTTTTTATTCACATTTATAAGTCACCAGAATAGCAGTCCAAAAGGAAGGACTATATCTGATTCCATTTTCTCTCTCTCTTTCTCTCTCTCTCTCTCTACTCCTTCTGCACTGTATTCATTTCCTTTCTGATTTTTTTTTTATTCACTTTAGTACGCTTCTTTAATGCTCGTTAAAGAGAAAGACTCTTCTTCGCTTTCTGGCCTACTCGACCAACTAAGATCTACACATAGTCCAAACAGATAATCCAAAACAACCAAAACTAAAGGGTAGCCTATTCAGTGTTTTTCTGACTCTCATTCATTGCAATGCACGAGAGAAAAACCTAACGAGAATCAATATATATACACACACCACATCATTACACCATCCACGATATTATTATAATTAATATCTACACAAATTAATTAAAGAAACAGCTTTAACCATACATCCAGCAGTGCAAAACTCAAGCCCGTTCATCATATAATAGTCTGCATTTATACCAAATTTAATTAACAAATAACACGACGCAAACTGCGGTTAATTTACATTTATAACTCTCGTTTTCTCACCACCTCCCTTGCTTTTAATCCCACTTACGTAATCAATACCACTCACTTCATATGGTATACAAATTCACAAAGGATATTAATTAGGGTACAAAAACAAAATGATAATAATTAATGAGAAAAAAATTATAACAAAAGCAAAGAAGGGATCAGAATAGAAAAGAGAGATAGAGGGGTGATGATGTCTAAGAGTTAGCGTTTTTGACATGGTTTTCTACTTCGCCACCTTCTGTTGTTATGTAACTCAAAACCAAAGAGTTGTCGTCCGGTGAAGCTGTTGTGGTTCGTGATTGAAATTCTTGTTTACAAGCATGGCATGTGATTTGAAGCATGGTTGAATTTATCTGTTTGATGGCATGTTCCTTCAAACCATAGGCTTTGTCCAGTTCCGTTTGTGCTTGTTGTCTGATCCTCTTGGCGTTTGTGAACTCAAGCTCAGCCAGCTCGATCTGCTTCTTCGCTTGCTTCCTTGCCTCTTCTGCATAGGCTTTCTCCGCCATCGCTATCCTCAACTGTTCACGTGCCTGTTCCTTAACACTTTCACCCAATGACTTTTCACTGTTTGGTGATGATTCATTCTTCTCATTCACTATTATTTCCGATGACCCAATGGATAGCTGCAACTGTGTGGAGCGGTTTCCCTCTCTCTTAGCTTTAGGCGATGCTACAGAAATAACATCAATGGGATTGGATGTTGTGGTCGTAGAGAGCTGAAGCTCGAGATTGGGGTAGAGATTGTTGTTGGATAATGTGGTTTCAATAACTGTGTGTTTTGGAATGATTACGCCCATCGGCCAAGGACCACCTGTGCTGAAATTGGTGTCGCTTGAAGGGCTTGAAGCTGTTCGAGACAAGCATGCAGTTGCTGCAGCTTGCGTTTCTGGCTGTGTAGACCTACCCATGTTGCATGCGTCTTGGTGCTCAATGAAACTCTCCACCCTACAAAACAATGCAACAGGAATGAGAAAGAACCGTTCCGTACAATTCAAAAGACTCAACAGATCCTTTCCTTGGTTATGTTGTATAGCTACAGTTAAAATAAAAAAGAATACAAGACAAAGAAAATAGTGGTTATAAAAAGGTGCTTGGAAAAGAAGTCAAGAGGTGGGGGAGATCCCACTAAATAAAAAAGGACAATCAAATCTATAAGAACTCATGTCATTTTGAGCAATCTAGCTTCTTCTCCTCATCAGTTGGTCCTTGAAGAAAAATACACAATACAATGCTATATATATATATAGATAATGATCACACAGATTAAGAGAGAAAGTATACAAGGTATTGGAATGCCGGAAGGTTTCTAGGTAACGACTAACGAAAGATGAGTTTCGGGAACCGCGTGTTCCCAACTGTCAATTATAAACAGCTAGCTAGCTACCTAGCTCTCGCTTAACATTTTAATTAAGGTTCCATCAGTCAAATATCAAACTTTTTATTTATTATTTTCCTTTTGTTTTCCCCATTGCTTACTTTATATCCCGTTTCAAAAAATATATCTGCCTTTTATTGAAGTCAAAACCTAAATAAAACAAAAGAGCTGGAAGTTTAGCCAAATTGATAAACATGGGATTTTAAAAAAGGCAATAGAAATTATTTAAAACATACAATAGAGAGAAAAGGTGATGAATTAACACAACTATTGACAATGATTTAAATTATGAATGACAAGGATCGATGAAGAAGCTGGTGGTGTAGGAAATGATGAAAGATGGAAGTAAGTGATTAACCTTGAGAAAACGCGGCCACAATCACAAGAGTGGCCTCTGGTGCCACAAGTTTTGAGATGTGCTTTGTAATCAGACTGCACTGCATAGCCTTTGGAGCATCTCTCACAGACCCATTGCTTGTGATTGCTGTGTTTCCTCCTGAAATGCTTCTTGATGCCAACGAGATCACCAAGAGCATGGCAAGGGTCATGGTGCAAACAAGTAGGCTCAGGGCACACAAACACTCGCTTCTTCACCACCGGAGTTTCTCTCTTTAGTAGCTTCCACGGCACCTTGTGGCGCCGCCGGTGCATCTGAAGGTTCTGGTCTCTCTGGAATCCCTGGTTGCAGATCTCACACACATAACGATCTGATTCAAGCAAGGTCTTGGGTGAGAGGGATACCACTTCTGCATCTGGATCTGTGCTCAATTCACACCACCCCAGCATAAATATGAATTAGCTATAAAGTATATTCAATTATTAAACAAAACAATTAAGATACATAGACCCACCATTCCAAAATAGACATAGGTTAGTGAATAATTGATAAAAGAATTTAGTTTTAACAAATTAAGAAAAAAAAAGGATTAGAATCGTGCACCTGGTGTTCCTGCAGGCCTTCTCTTCCTTTTATTAGTAGAAGTACCATTCTCAGCGCAGGAAAACGGTTCAGAAGTGGGAACTAACGAGGGAGATGAATTATTGGCTAACATAGCTATGTGAGGATTCAAGAATATTCAACCCTCACTACTTGTTTGTGCTATCTCTTAATTCTCTTGTATGGTATAATAGCTCAAGTGTGGTGTGAGTATGTACGTTAGTGATAGAATTAAGAGATCATGAGGGGGGGGGGGGGGGGGGAAGAGAGAGAGAGAGAGAGGGGTACTATGAGGCCTAAGAGGAGGAGATAGAGAGGAAGAGAGAAAAAGTCTTTATTTTTTTTAAAAATTGTTATCTTGGGGTTACCTCATGAGCTTTCTTTTAGCTTGCTTTTGAACTTTAAGCTTTTGCAACAGCTTTCTCTCTCTGGGTTGCTCTCTTCCTTCCAACCCTCATCTTCAACAGGTATTGTCTGTAATTGTATAGCGCTCCTTAATAAACTCTCAAAAAGAGACAGAGAGAGAGAGAGACCCAATCACAAAGCTCGAAACTTGATCCCACAATGGGCTCCAGAAGAAAAACATCCCCACAAAGAAACAAAACCCTCTCATAATTTCATAACACAGTAAAATTTTGCTTTGCATGCAAAAATACAGGCCAAGCCCCCAAATACACACGTAAGCTTCCTATTTTTGTCACTCTCATAATCTCACGCACTACCTTCTTATTTCCTCTGCCCCTGCGCACACTCTCTCTCACCTGTGGTTAGTTAGGAAGAAAGAATAGGGAGGGGGCAGATATATCTATCTTTATAGACCATTGTACCCATACGCAGGATTTCTAATTAATTTCACTTGAGGCAGCTTTTATAAAGGTGATAATGAGGATGTGAAGTCACCCTCAGGGGCATTCCCGTCAATTTCCCTCGTTATTTTTTCTGTCCAAGATGCTTTGCTTTTTGGTAAACTATTCGCATCATGCTAGCAGTTGCGAGTAAAAATTGGCAACATTGTCTTTTCTAGGTCAGCTTCGTAATCTTGTTCAGGGGAAATGTTCCATGAACGTAAATGTCGGATAACAATTTTTTTAATTTTATTTTTCCTATACGTATTTATATTATTATTATATACTTTATCATATAGTGCATCAGTTTTTTTTTACGTTCAAATCATGAAACTCGTTGCAGAAATGCCCCAACATGTGCATATATATACATACAGTGCTGCAAACATCATTTTACTTGAAGAAGAGAGGAGCAGCAAAAAGCTAAAAATGAAACCATGTCATCGCATAAATGGCATTGATGTCACTTACTTTCCTAGTACTGATTAGTGATTACACCAGATGAAGAGTATTAATTCTTATGCGATTTTTATTTTTTTTGTACTTTTTTCCATTTTTAAATAGTTTTATCATATTATCTATCTGTTTCTTCTCCTTTACGTTTCACGCCCCCAACTGGGTGCCAAAAACAAAAAACATTACCCAGTCTTATTCCAAGTTGCAACATCGACAAGTCCATAACAAATGTTCAATTCAACTAATTTTGATTATGTCTAAAGAGCATGTATGTTAAAAAAAAAATACATATATATATATATATATTTATAAATATTTAAAGTGTGTAAAAATTCATTTACATAATTTTCATGATACTACTATAATATGAAAAATAATATTATAAACGGTAAAATATATATTTTAAATATTTAAGTTAAAATCAATAATATTACCAAATTTAATTAGATACTACTATTGGTATATGTAGCCGCGCGCTAGCAGAGATTACAATATACTATTTTTTTTTAACTATATACTATCTATTACCTCGTCAATCGTCATTGATATTTCCATACTTAATAACATGTCTTTAGAATCAATTTAACGATCTTAGATTATTTCGAGTAGATGAAATGGAACTCAATTATTTTGAATTGAGTATAATTAATTTAGCAGCTATTAAGATTAATTTTCAATATATAAATAGTATTTTTATTAAAAATATTTATCATGATTTTATATTTTTTATGAAAAAAATATTTATTTTTAAATAAAATTTTAATAATTTTTAGTGTTTAAAATTAATTTTAAAGACTAATATTAATATTTTTAATTTAATAAAAAACTTAAAATATGTCTAATCATTCAAATAACTTTATTTATTTTTATATAAAATGATCGGTCCATAAAAATTGATTTGACCAAGATTCAATGACTCTAAGTGTCATATACTTAAAATAAAATAAAATAATGCATTTCGAAATATAAAATGTAAAATTAAGAAGCAAAACCCATGCGTCAACTTGGTAATCCACTTAACCCAAAAGTCGCTTGAGTTGTGAATAAAAACGAAAAATAGCAAATATTACAAACAACACAAACTTAAATCCCAATAAACTCCATCTCTCCTCCCTCCCACCATCAACACGATTCCTACTATGAGAAACATTACCATTACTGACTGACCCACAAAAATTGTCAATAATTGTGAAAAGTAATCAATAATAAAAACTAATGAAAATGGCATGCTCGAAGTTTGATCTCCTATACCTTGGCATACTTCAACCTTCAAAACCAGGTTTAGGCAACATGATCATTTTAATTAGTTTCATTTTCAAGCTGGGAATATGGACGCCACCACCCTTCACCCTTCGTCTTGTGAGGGGTGTTAATAGAAGTCATAACATGTTGATGTTGAGCATCAAACTATGCTTTCACTGGTCAAGTACTTAGATACGTAGTTAAGCATATATTAACTAGTCAAAATGCATGAGTTCAGTTAAATACTCAATTAGATACCTTATAGTAGCTTCTTCTGCTATCTTTGTTATAAATACAGAGACGTTGTATTAGCATATTGTAATATTGAATAATGAAACTGCATTAGCTGCTCTTTGCCAACTGCTCTTCTTGATGTTCTCCCTCACCCTCCACTTCTAATAATGGTTTTGTACTTTCTCCATCATCTTTTAAATGTTATCATTTAATAATTATTATTTTAAGAAAACTAATAATATATAGTTTTATTATATTTTCATTTTTCATACCCAATAAATAAATATTCATTTGAAAAAGTTCTTATGTATAGATGATAATTATTCATGTGAGAATATAAAATTATACAAATGTAAAGCTTTAAAACTTTGTTTCAAACTTAGTTTCAAAAAAGAAAAAAAATGTATTTAATAAAAAAAAGTAAGAAAAATAGATGAAAAATTTATAAAAACTCTTTAAAACTTTTATAAATTCATATGTTAAACTTTTTTTCTTATTTCTCCTCTCTTCTCTTATTTTTTAAACACTTTTCTTCTCATTTTTTTTCTTACTCTCAAAAAAACCTTTAAATCTTATTCATAATAAATTTTTTATTATAACTATTTTTTTTATAAATATTCATTATAAACACACTTGTAAATAGCATGCAATAAATGTTTTATAACAAGATAATACATTACACACATATATATATATATATATATTTAATTTGATACATTTTAAAATTAAAGAAGAACAAAACATAAAACTGAAAAAAAAATCCCATTTCGTTCTGGTGACACGTATGCAATACCTAGAATAATTTTAGTCCGATGAGCGCTTTCAACCTTAAAATAATGGAAACATATCGTCGACTTTCAGTGCACCTTGAAAAAAAAATGTTGTTAACATATTTTTTTAATGTATTTTTTTATATATTTTATGTGATTAAATTATTTTACTAAAAAATAAAAGATATATAATAATTCGAATTAAAAATAAAAAATATTACAATGTAGAATTTTAATAAAAAAATATATGAAAAATGTGATAAAGAAATCGTCCCTAAAAATAATATAGTAAAAATTTTGAGTAGATGAATGGTGCAGATTGTGTTTAACGTGCGAGAATGATTAGGCAACACGTGGAAGGGCGAAGGATTGATAGGTTTGGCGGTAAGATGAACGGAGGAGAGTAAGTGGACGGGCATGATTGGTTTGAGGGGAGGAAGTATCGCTGTCGCGGCAACACAGTGTGATATCCACAGTTGTGAAATGACGAAATGGACAGCGAATAATAAAGGAGAGATTCCGACACCAAAAATAAGGGCTGTAGCTGCTTCTGTTTGGTGGCTGCCTGGGCCAAAAGCAGTGGGCCCCCTTTCTTTCTTCTTCCTTCTTTCTTCGTTTAATATTAAATGCATTACTTTAAATCGTCCCCATGCAAATTTCCACCAACAAAATACAACTTCTTTTCAACAAATATCATAATACAACATCCATGCAACTCAATAAACACTTTTCATTTTATTTTAACATTTTTTTATCATAATTTCTTGATCCCACCATCCCATGTAACTCCTTTATTATTACATGTTCTTAAATGTATTTTGTCTTTAAGTTTATTTTAATACATTGTTAATATAAAAATTTTAAGATTATCAACCATTAAATTATAATTTTTATTATGTATCAATTCATATTCATTGAATGACAGTATAAACTTTTTTAACAATCTGAATGAATTTAAATTAAATTTTATATAGATCCAACCTTTAAAAAAATATTGTTAACATTTCAAATGTTACTATTATAAAAAAAAATATTATCATTAACTCTAAAAATTAATTTTAAATATTTAAAAATAGTGTGATTTTATTAAGAAACAAAGTATTTATCATAAAAAATATAATACATATATACTTTCTAAATTTAAAAAAATTACTTTTAAATATTTTTATCTACTTAACTAAAAATTGTTTGTTCCATCAGTAAGCATATAATAAAATCAAATAAAAAAATTAAACATTATAGGCATTTGTTTTCTCTTATACATATAGTGTTAGTGTTAGGACAAAGGAAGGGCAGAAAAAGGTTATAATTGATAGGAAAAAATTAAATTATCTCTTATTGAAATTTAACTCAAATATAACTTTTATCAATGTATATAAGAATAGAAAAAAAGGAAAAAATATAAAATTAATAAAGAATTACAATTTGATTTGATCCAATTTAATTTAAATTACGAAATAAAAAATAAAAAAATTAAATTTATTTAAGCAGTTTTTGTGAATTAATTTTTATTTAATATTTTTTGTACAAATTTGCGGTTTAAAATGGTTTGGCTCGAATCGTGCACTCCCAGTGCAAATGACTAACTTGGTGTAATTTCATTCGTTGTGTCAATGCTGTATTTTGTTGAAGTTTCTTATGTCTAACATAATGTTTTGTGGTAAATGTGTGTTCTTTACTAAACAATTAATAATTTTATCAGTTAATTTACTGCTTAGTTAGCAAGAGTACAGTTTTAAAGACTATTTTAAAAAGAGTTTTTAAATATACTATATTTAGAAATAAAAACAGAAAACTCTTTAATCAAACATACTCTAAACATCATATTAATTAATTGGGTAGGTGTACCTTTATGTGTCTTTTTTGAAATAAATTTACTCTGTTTAAATTTAATATGACAGGTTAATGTACAAATTTTGTATTTATTGCTAAATATTAAATTAGTGAGTCTCTATTAAGAATTATAAGTAAAACGATAAACAAAAAGTTTATTGTAATCCATCATGTATATGAAAAAATTCCTTCTCTCCTTGATTAACGGACAATTGATTTCATTGTTAGGTAATGTAAAATGTTAACTAATTAACTATGTTAAAATTGGATGAGAAGAGAATAATTATTATAGAATATAAATTTTGTATTAAATTATTAAGAAATAAAAATAAAAAATAAAGTGAAAACATATTTGAATTGACGAAAAAAAT